AGAACGGCAGCGAAGTTGAACAGTGTCCCTCAGGAAGGCGTTTGAAAGCGACTTTCCTACTGTTGGTTGCCAAGATCACTACTGGGATGTGTCTAAGACAGGGGTAGTCAACCTTGGCTCTTCTATGACTCGTGGACTTCAACTCCCAGAATTCCCGAGCCAGCTCTGCTGGCTCGGGAATTCTGGGAGTTGAAGTCCACGAGTCATAAAAGAGCCAAGGTTGACTACCCCTGGTCTAAGAAATCACCAGAGCCGGCGGACGCTTGACTTAACTACTGTATTCTCGAAAGGCAAACGCGTGCGCGGATCTCTATCCCCCTCCCCTTCGGAATCGCTTGCCACTGTGGGGTTCTACAAGCCCTTTTCTCTATCCTACTGAGCGTGTGTGTGTGTGTGTGTGTGTGTGTGTGTGTGTGTGTGTGTGTGTGTGTGTGTGTGTTTCTGTGTGTCTGATTCTCTCCCCGCCTCCACCCTTTGCTTGATGTCTCATTAATGAGGGCGGCTCAGAAAGCCGTATATCGCTGCGGGACATGATTAGATATTTATTACTGTCATTTACATAAGAAATTTGAAGAATCAACCAAATGGAACGGAAAGGCGGCAGCGGCGCTTCGCTTCGCAGCTTGTCCTGCGCAAGGAAACAAGGCTGGAAGAGCGCGTTCGGGGCGTCCTTATCCACGGAGCGGGATGGGTCCGAAGTAACCGGCCAACACGAAGTCCTGCTAGCTAACTAACCAAATAAATGTCTCTCTGAGGACTTTAAAAATAAATAAAGAAAACTTCAGAATGAGAGGGTCGGAACTGAGACATATTTTAGGCCCCAAAGAGTTGCCCTTGGATTGAAATGACAAAGCCTGCCGTGCGTGTATAGGTTTGCTGAGGGCAGGATTTGTGAGGTCTTCATTTTCCCCTTGTACAAAAAGTATCTCGCTCTCCGTTCTCTTCTCAGGTCGAGTCGGGCTGCCGGGTTCTGACTAAAAGTCGTTTCCGACGACTCTGGTCGGACTGACTCCGGAGAAGGGAGGCAAAGTAATAGCAAAGGCGACCTTGGCTGACTTTGCAAAGCTAAGCAAGTAGGATTAGGCCTGGATTATATCTGGACGGGAGACCACGAAGAAATCCCAAATAGTCGGAAAAAAAACCCCATGCTGGAAGAACATAATGAGGAATTATTTCTTTATGTTGCTGAGAACATGGACATGTTCACAACGTCTGTCTGGACTGAAGGTAGCAGTCAGCTTTTTATGGAACCGTGGCTGTGTGGAGACTACAGTTTGCATAGGAATGGCGGTACAAGAAGTCAGAAATCTCTAGGAAGGAAACGTGCATAGATAGCATTGCCCATTGGGTAAGAACTGTCTAACAACTGGCAATCTGGGCCAGCAAACAGGTAGTAAGACCTTTGAAGTGGCACCCTCCAGCCCTTCAGGTGGTCCCCTGCAGCTGTTAAGCAGCTTTAAGGCACAGTTCACTTCAGTGTGGGAAAGCAATTTTGATTGTTGTGTATTGGGTTGGTACCGCAGGTGGTTTTTTTTTTTTTTAATCCGGGGTTAAAGTAGGGACCAAAAATATGCTCCCTTCTCCCAAAATAACACGGGGTTACCCAACGGGAGTGAGAAAAGCAGCAAGAGTTACAAGGTTGGAGATAAGACTTGGAAGCGGGCAGGGATAGGAAGAGGAACTCGCGCCGCAGTGGCAAATGGACCAGGTCGCATTCTTTGCTGAGTGACAGTTTAGTGCAGACGCCGCAAATACTCCTGCAGACAGGTACTGCGCGATCCTGTTTTGTATTCCCCCAACCTATTACTTCGCCCCCTCTTCTCAACGGAATCTCTAGTAAGACTCCGCTGGAATCCCCTAAATCTTTCCTCCGACCAACAGCGGTTTGAGAAGCGAACATTTCCGCGCTCCGTCCAAGGTGCAGAAGCGGGCCGATTTCTTTTCTAGGTTCTTACCCGGGCAGTGCGCGCGCGTGAAAGTGGGAGTGGGATGAGGACACCACCTCAGAGGCCGGGATCCCAGCACTTTACCCCCGAGATTTGGGCTCCGCTGATCCAGACTCCCTTTCTCCTGGAGCCGGAGGACCGACGGAGATGCCCGGCGTAGGAAACACAAGTCAAACTTCGGCAATTAAGCTGCCGTTTGATTGGCTCAGGCGTTCCTAAGGAGGGAAGCCAAATGCAAGGGCTGGCCTTTTCGGGAGCAATTTGCTCCTCCTTCGATCCGGCAGCAAGCCCTGATTCCAAAGCAGACAGCAGTTTGGACAGAGGTTCGTTGCGGAACAAGTTTCGTCGAAATCCGAGGGACTCGCCTCATCTAAAGTCGGGAAATTCCGGCCGAGACTTCGCGTTGAAGTTTCGTCCCAGGCTTATGCGATGGGAATGGGGGGGGGAGGGAGGAAAGCGCCAGTGGGCCGAAAATGAAATTCTTCATTGGGATCCAACCCGAACAGTTGGAGCTATTTGTACCCGCACGAACCAAAAAGATCTGCAAACTTTCCAGTTCTCCAAGGCAGGGTCTTTCAAAAAAAAAACAAAACAAAAAAAACCCAAGGCAGAAGAGAATTGCCTGGCGCTAGGTCTTTCTGGCCGGCCCTCTGCGGGTCCAAGGCATCGGACTGGTAGATGGAATTCCTTTCTTGGCAGGAGGGGTCGTGTGGGCTAATGTGCACTTCGCTGTGAGTGGGGGAAAAAATATTCCCACCCACCATGCTTTGAAAGCATAAGGCAGGAGATAAGTTTCGTAATGTCACGCGGAGGAATTGTGAATACTTTTTTTTTTTTTTTTTTTTGCTAAAAAGCAATTCTAGATGTCATTTGATAAGAAAGGTTATTGCTCGGCTATCAACTCATTTGGCTTCTCTTCTTTTCACCCAATAAATTGATAAGGCTTCACCTTATAGGATTGCAAGCAAAAAAAAAAAAACACACAAATATATAAAGCTTACTAGCTGGCTCTAATCTCATGTTCTACAATTTCACTTTCGTCAATTTAGCTTCCAAATAAAGTTTTTTTTTAAAAAAAAAAGAAAAAAACCTTTTTTTAAAAATCCATCAATCGGTGCTATGTATAATAATTCCGTTAAAATGACTGAGATGTGAGCGACGAATGCTTTGACATCTGAAATTCGTTAGTCAACTTTTCCTGTACGTCACCTTCTAAGAGTTATTTTGCACATTTTATACAGGTTTTTGTCCTTCCTTCAGCAAGCATTACTTTAAATTTTCGGGAACAGGGGAAAAAGATGGACTAAGAATTGTTAAGTCCCTACTGAAAATAAACAGAGCCTGTTCCCCTCCCACCTCTTCCTTTTCTTCAATAACTCATTTTGTTTGCTCTATTAACTTAACAGAAAGATAAATAATTTTTAAAAGGCCTGAGCAACCGCAGCAACTGTGCAAGGTTACACTTTTTATTTGGAAAATTTGTTCCCCATCTTCCTCAACGTTTGGGATTGTAGGCTAAATCAAACATTGTGTTGGACGCGATTACTGGTGGCAGGTATGTGTGTGTGTATGTTGTTACTTGGCAGTTAGGTCCATCTTCAACAACAGGATTAACTTTCAAGTAATTGGAGAGGCAGAATTTCTTGTAATGACAAGGGGATCTTACGACGCCATAGGCAGTATAAATGAATGCAAAATAGGAAATAAAACTTTGTTTCCTGTTCTGAAACTCTCCTGTCCATACTCGCAAATATTCGTTTGCCTTGCTCTAACAGAATGAGATTTAATACCCCATACCTATTCCCGGACTTCGAATCTACACCATACGACTTTCTGTTTTTAAGTATCCGGAACTTGGGGGTGAGGAAGAATATCCTTTGGCCAAACAAGTCTTGGTAGCTTGGAATGAATTGAGGCGCGCCCTCCACGCGCGCGCACGCTCCTCTTTCTCCTACCCTGGTCCCTCCACTACCCAATGGCCCCGGGAGAGGCTGTGGCCGAGATGCATGCAGTCTCTGACTCGAAAATACGCCGGCGGATCACAGTCCGGATTCGCAGCGTAACGGAAGCGCAACCAGGATTGTATTGGTCAGCCGCCAATTTGCCAACCCCAGGTCACAATGCGTGTCCTGTCGCCTCGTAAATTTGTCCTGATGTGGTCGGGGTAAGGGCTAAAGAGGAGCTGCGGGCAGGAGAGAGGGTGAAGCTCCTAGGGCAGAACTAACAAAACGCGCATAATTTAAGGAGGGCGAATTTCCGCTCCCCGAAAAACTCACGCTTAAGTACAATAAAACAAGATCCATGTTGCCAAATGCCCCCTGCGCAGTTCTGCAACACTTGGCCCCCCACTTACTTGAAAGTGGAGCCCCATTAAACGCTTGCACAGGCTGAACTCTCAGGGAATTCAACCCTTGCCTCGTGAGACTCGCCCCGAACTCTACCGCCAAGAGTTACATTCGTGCTAGAAACAGGTGGGGGTGGTTCCCTCGAGGCTATCTAGTCCAAACGCGCTTTACTATAGAGTTTTCCACGCATTGGCGTTTTCAATCCTCTTTAAACATTTTCATCCAGATCAGAAACAAAATCCTCACTCCCTTCCTTCCCCCCCCCGCCCCACTTGCATACTGCTGCTAGCGAAATATTCGCCTTCCAGCCTTCTTTCTCTTGACTTAATCTCTTCGCCTCCGGCTCCGCTTCCCTCCGCCTCCAAGTCTGTCTCTCGGAGCCTCCCTCGGCTGTTTGGCTTATTAAAACATCGTTAGGTAAATAGGGATGAAATGGGGTAGTCCACAAATGGAAGCGCTGAACTCTTAACTGCGCCCTTTGGCAAATGAACGGGGCGCCGGAAAAGGAGCCGGAGTGAAAAGTAAGTAAGTAGGTAAGGAAGGAAGGAAGGAAGGAAGGAAGGAAGGAAGGAAGGAAGGAAGGAAGGAAGGAAGGAAGGAAGGAAGGAAGGAAAGAGAGAGGGTGGTGCGCCCCACAAGTCAGGAAAGAGAAAGGGGGGTGCGCCCCACAAGTCAATAATAAAACAAGGAAAACGGAAGAAAGTCTGACCTCTTTCACTTTCCCCCCTACGGGGTGCGTGGAAAAGAATTCAAAGGGTAGCCGGGACGTTTGACAAGTTTGAAGACTCGAAGCTGAGTATTAAAACCATTCGTGGGACATTCGCCGCCGCCTCGCTAGGGGAAAAAAAGCAGCTTTTAACCAAACGAATCTGTGCGCCTAAATGCATTTCCTCTAACCGTCTGCTCAACGTTACATTTGAAAAACGAGGCAAGAGAATTTATCTCTCTTTACCTAAGAGAAAAAGGGGAACGGATAAGAAAAGATGGGTGGGGGGGGGGAAATAGTTATGGGACGGCCTAATCTGTTCCAAATGAAGTCAAGCCGGGGCAGGCTCGTTCAAAGGGAAAGGAACTGCCTCCGCGCAAGGGCTGGCGGCGATCTCCACGAGGGAGCCCGGACTGAGGACCGCCCCGCGGAAAAGTTTGTCCCCCGGATCCTTTCAGGATTTGGTCCCCGACAGAGAAGCCGCAGCGCCATCCTCGCCTCGTACTCCTCCTCCTCCTCCTCACCCTCGCCAGGCGGAAAACCGCTCGAGCCCGGCCTGGATAGGCGCGCGCGCCTCCTAAAGGAGAGAAGCGAAGGCCCGGGGCAAAGTTTCGAACGCCGGGAGGCTTTTCGGCCAAGCAGAGGGAGGGGCAAGCCGGGGACCACGGCCCTACCTTTCGAGAGGACGCTCCTGTCTCGGGGGTTGATTGCAGCCGCCGCCGGCCTTGAGGGAGGCAGCCTCTCGCTCGGGAGCCGTGCGAAACGCCCAGCACGGGACTCGAGCGCGCTCGCTTTACTCCAAGTCTCCTCCTGCCGGGCTCCCAATCTTGCAAAGCTGCCATCTACTGGAGGAGGCGGATTCAGGAAGGATTTTTAAAAGGCGCCTTCACATAGACCTGGCAGCTCCCCTGCAAGATGTTGAATGGCTCTTCCCCACGTCAATCAAAAGAGAGGCTTTGCTGATCGCCCCCTCCCCGGGCCGCCAAGTCTCCCTCCCTCGCTCCCTCCCTCCCTCCCTCCTCCTCCCCCCTCCCTCCCGCTTTCCCTCCTAATAGCAATTTAAGCGCTTCTCCCGCTCGCTCCAGTCCTTTATTCCAAGGCTAGTCAGGTGTAAAAGTCTAATTGAATCTCTGGCCGATCATAATAGCCAGCCAGGCTGACGGGGTCGAATTGGAAGCCGTGGAAAAAAAGAGAAGGGGTCGCATTAGTGCTTTAATGAGTAATGGATCCACGCCCGAAGAGAGCCAAAGGGGGCAACAGATAGACTATTCCGTCCGCGGCGCCTCGTGTTTGCTTGGAGTCATAAGGCTGATAAGGCCGATCAACGAGGGGCCGGAAAAGATCACAGCGGAACGCCGCAGACTCTTCGGACTCCCTTACGCGAATGTAGAGGAACTCTGCCCGGACTTAGTCCTGAACTTCGAATATTCGCACGGTTTTATGACGTGTTTCCTTTCTGAGGAGGCCAAAGTCCAGGTCAAGTTAAGGCCACGGGTGTCAAACGCCCCGCGTCACGTGACGCGTCGCGACTTTTTTTTTTTTTTTTTTTTGCATTGCCGGAGCTGGGGTTGGCGCGGCCTCCGTCTGATGCAACCGGCCCGCGGGCCGGCAGCTGGACACCCCTGGAGGGTTTTCGTCGGGAGTCTCAAAGTTCAGCCCTTCACACTTGAAGCCTCCCTTCCACGTGATCCCCGCACAGGTCCTCAGGAAATTACTTAGCTACACACAAACACACATACACCCCAAATCTTCTTGCCAGCTATTGCTGTGACTTGGATCACTAGAACTGCCCTGTCCTTTGGGTGTTGCTCCACGCGATTATGGACTTCTGAAGTCGTCGCCTCTTCACTATGCCTTCCTGGGTATCAAACCCAGGAGAGGAAAGATTCGTGTTGTCCATCCTCTTCCCCTTTGATTTGATTTTTATCCCGATCGCGGAGGAAACTGTGTGTCCTCCTTACTAAGTCTCTCACCACAACACAACGCTTGGCGGGATAGAAAGCTCGTAGAGCTGAGCTTTCGATTCATTTTTAAACACTGTGACTGCAATCTTATCCATTGCTTGTTATGGCATCTTCATAGAATCTGAAGCTGAAATCCTGCCCCCGTTTACCCGAGCATACAGCTTTCTAAACTGAGTTTATTTCTAAATCGAAATAAAATCCCCTTCTCCAAATAAATTAATCTACGGGAGCCTTACTACAGTTAACTAAGCAAAAGCCTAGATAGCTTCAGAGAATGTTGGCCCTTGCCCGCGGTGTGTGTGTGTGTGTGTGAAGACTGCGGGTGGGATTAAGATTTGATTCCTAAATAATCCGGTGGATGAAAAGGAGGAAAAAAAATAGGCGTGATGCAGACGGAACAGTTTTAGTATTTCTTTTAATTTCAGTGACTATTCCATCTCTCTCTCTCTCTCTCTCTCTCTCTCTCTCTCTCTCTCTCTTTCTCTCTCTCTCTCTCTCTCACACACACACACACACAATCTCTCTAAGGCAGCCAAGAGGTAGCTTTTTGGCAGACCTAACTGCACCCGTTGGTTTTATTTGCTTTTCGGCTCTGTCATGCCTTTGCAGTTGTTGAAATCCTTTGCTAATAGATGCCAAGGTTTTCTTTCTTTCTTTTTTTCTTTTTTGCTTTAGACTCTTTCCCATCCCAGAAGGATTTAGGGTGGGATTGGGAGGACAAGACGCCATTTCAGGTTCCAAAACACCCTGTTTTAAAATGACTGCGGATAAGAGGATTAAAACAATAATACCCTTCTCTTCTTAAGGGTTCTCCCCCTCCTCTAGAAAAGATTTCTTCTCCCAGAGCAAAACCGTTTAGGCAGGAATTAAGGGAAGAAGACAGTCAAATAGGGAGGGGGGGGAGAGAAAGAGGAAAAAAAGAAGCTCCTTTAATTTTAAGCCCGCAACATATAGCCATCTGCAATACCTCTTGACTTTTGAGGCTACGTGTTTGTGTGTCTCTATATACAAACACAGAGAGACAGAGAGACACGCGCGCGTGCACACCTTCATATATGGTAAATTGTTATTTGCTGAGCTAGCGGGAAGGAAGGAACTTCTGAATACAAGTTTTGGAGAGGGAAAAACCGGACACCGTGAATATTCCTTCTAAGTACAGCAAAGGTCTTGAAATATCTTCCCACTGAACAAGGCAAACGGGAGAAATCCTGTCCTAGAAAACAGGCTGTTCCAGTTTGAGCCCTTCCAGATGTGTCGGGCTGGCTAAGGATAATAGGAGGTGTAGGCCGACGCATCTAGACGGCCCCAAACTGGACAAGGAGTGCGTTTTATTTCTTCGTTCCACCCTTTTCTTCGGGGGAGGGGCGAACTGTTTATCACCTAGCCAAGCTGCATACTTCTGACGTGTGGCAAGGACTCTGTTCCTAACCTGAGATGAACTCAGGAAGTTGGTGAGAAAGCTCCTTCCAGACGCCTCGAAGTAACTTGACAGGTGCCCGTTTGGCCTGCTGAAGTATTCCCCCGGCCCGCGTTCGTCCCGAGCTTGGCTTTTCAGGCTCCCTGCAAGAAAGCACTGATCTATCTCCCCTTGCTGGGACTCGGGGAATGCTCTGACTTTATGGGGCGCAAGCCCTGCGGGCTCCCCGCAACGAAGCAGCGAGAGCAGCGAGCCAGGAGAGGACGAGCGCCGGCAGAGAGCCAGCCCGGGGGAGGGGGGAAGGCAAATTGCGGGGGCTTCCTTCGCCTGCCTTCTGCTACGTGGCCCCTCCGGGTTGGGAGGGAAGCGAGAGATCTCCGTAGCTCTAGCCTTCAGAGCCCCTTTGCCCTCCAGGCCCTGGGGCTCTTGGCTTGCCCCGCAAACCTGTAGCTTCTCCGCAGCGTGGAAGCAGGAATCTGGCGCAGAGAAAAGGGCTGGCGGCCCTTTGACTGGGCAGAAGCGCAGCGCCAGGAGGAGGAGGAGGAGGAGGAGGAGGAGGAGGAGGAGGAGGAGGAGGAGGAGGAGGAGGAGGAGGAGGAGGAGGAGGAGGAGGAGGAGGAGGCAAATGGGTTCCAAAAGTTAAAAGCCGCTCAATGGCTTCTTCCGTCAATGAACGTGAACTTTTCCCCAGTCTCTGGGCCGACGACCCTACCACCGCCTCCGGGCACCCGAGGAGAAGAAAATCTGATTCTGTCGATCGAGTTCTCTTTCTTTCTTTCTTTCTTTCTTTCTTTCTTTCTTTCTTTCTTTCTTTCTTTCTTTCTTTCTTTCTTTCTTTCTGTCTTCCTTCCTTCCTTCCTTCCTTCCTTCCTTCCTTCCTTCCTTGCTTTTTCCTTCCTTCCTTCTTTCCTTGCTTCCTTCCTTCCTCTTTCTTTCTTTCTTTCTTTTTTCTTCCTTCCTTTCTTTTTCCTTCCTTCCTTCTTTCTTTCCTTCCTTCCTTCCTCTTTCTCTTTCTTTCTTTCTTCCTTCCTTCCTTCCTTTCTTTTTCCTTCCTTCCTTCTTTCCTTGCTTCCTTCTTATTTATTTATTTATTTATTTATTTATTTATTTATTTATTTATTTATTTATTTCTTAACCCTGTTTTAAACTACCGGTTGATTAACGATAAGCATATTGTGAGCCTCGCGTGCGGATGGGGGTGAATCCGTCGCACAGTTTATAAGAGGGGAAAGGCGCCGGCTGCGATTCTGTGCATAAATTCCCAGAGGGAATGGGACAGAACTTTCCCTTCAATCTGGTTTGGTTTTATAGAGCCGCCTTCTTTCCGAACCTTGCTAAAATTAGGTTTTTAAGTGACTTGGTCTTGACCTTTGTTCGGTCAGGCAGGGGTCCCTTATCGCGCTACTCAACGAAACCCATCTAAGTCTTTAAATTTCAATATTAAATATTTTTCCCCCGGGCGCTTCAATGTTTTAAATCAGCTTTCACTGAATTGCTGTTTACCTGCTAAATAGATTCATAACAAAGTTATAACATTTATAGCATTCGTAACATAAAATGCCCATCAAAAATTTCATTTTAATGTTAATATTTAAATGAATCATGTCTATTAAATAGGAAGCAACATTTAGATCTTATTTCTATGTCACAAAACTTTCATCCGAATCCAGAGGTTCCAAAATCTGAAAATGGATGAGAAAGATTGCTGATCTTATCGCCTTCCCCCCAGCTTAGTCCTTGTTAGACTACAATTCCCATCATCCCTCTCTGGAGAGGATGGGTGCGCTAGTTCAAAGGGGTGTATGAGAATAAAGGACTGTCAATTATTTTGAAATTAGATTTACACTTCCTTAACAAGTTTTTAAAATTTTTAAGGAAATTTAAAAATGTCCTTAATACTATTGTCTCTTTTTACATTTTTTTAAATATTTCACTGGGACACGACAAATAAATACTTCACTGATTAGAATTTGCTCAGTTATTGACAACTGCGTGATTGTGTGTGTGCGCGCGTGTGTGCACGTGTGTGTTAATTTCGTTTAACAAATCAGGAGCTTAATTTAAAGTATTCATTCTCATTTTTTCACTTTTTTTTTTTTTCAAAACTCTGGAATCCATCTTTTTTTTCCTTTCCTGAGGGTGACAGACTGGCAACAGACTGGTATATAAATCTTGAATTCAAATGCACCAACCGGCTCCGTTTAAATTGGGAAACGGTTTTTCTATATCCTTACAGCCAAGACAGTAAAAATAAAGGGGGGGGGAGGGGAGAGAGAATAGACCAAACCAGGAGTCTTCAAACTTGGCCCTTTTATGACTTGTGGACTTCAACTCCCAGAATTCCTGAGCCAGCTGGCTCAGGAATTCTGGGAGTTGAAGTCCACAAGTCATAAAAGGGCCAAGTTTGAAGACCCCTGGTCCAAACTCTCCCCCTATCAGAAGATGCATAAAGTCACCCCACATTCTAATGATAACAAGGACTTAAAATGGCTACTTAACCAAATCAATACATCGCCATTGCCTTCTTTTTCTCTCTCTTCTTTTCCTAACGGGGAGTCATCTTTTTTTTTTATTTTTTTTTA